GGGCTGATTCAGCAGTTGGGAGAGCCATAGTCCAATCAATTATTCTTCACTCTTATCCCACCTCTAGAGTGTAGTGGCTTGGAAGCCACCTGATTGAAATTGATGTGAATGAGCTCTCAAGAAAAGACAGCTACCTGTTTTCTCATATCTGGTGTTCTTTGAGATGTGTTGTTCATGTCCATTCCTGTACCCATCCTTCTTCCCTTCTGTTGGAGTAGCCAGAAAGAAGGAACTGAAGGGGGGGCGGCAGTGGTATGTAATGGCTGCTATAGCAGTGTCACTCTATAGGACTCCACAGCTGACCTGACAGGAGCTAGTAGGGGAAGAAGTTTCTGATGGTCATGTATGCTACACAGCTGATTGGTGTTCTTCAAAATGTGTTTTTCACATCCATTCCAGTTACAAGAAAGCAAGTAATCATCTTTTCTTGGGCTAGCAGGCCAAGTCATACCCAAAGAGTCTGAAAAAGTCTGTACTCAGCTCTATAGGACTCCACAGCTGACCTGACAGGAGCTAGTAGGGGAAGAAGTTTCTGATGGTCATGTATGCTACACAGCTGATTGGTGTTCTTCAAAATGTGTTTTTCACATCCATTCCAGTTACAAGAAAGCAAGTAATCATCTTTTCTTGGGCTAGCAGGCCAAGTCATACCCAAAGAGTCTGAAAAAGTCTGTACTCAGTTGGCTCAGGCAGACAAAGCACATATCTGTCTATGCAGCTGCAGTGCAGATGTACCCTGACAAGCAGGCTAAGAGAACTAATGGTCATGAGAGTCAAGACATAGCCAGGCATGTGCTGCCTATAACGCATCTGAAGTTTTGTCTCATTCTCTAGCTTATGCTGTGACCATTAAGATATGGCTCAGGAATTCAGAAAAAAGTTCTAGAATTGCCTTGAAGGCATGGAGTCTTTCTTCTGTTAAAACAACTGATCATTTGAGCAGACTCAGAGACTAAATTTTTGAAACAGCCTTTTAAGGCATTTTTAGTCTGGGTATGTCTATACTATCCCCCTACTTCGAACTAATGGCTAATGTAGGCATTCGAAGTTGCAAATCAAGCCCGGGATTTAAATATCCCGTGCTTGATTTGCATCTTCCCAGCTGGTCGCCATTTTTGAAATTTACAAGTCTGACTAACTGCTCACGTCTTCACACGACAGGGACCCGGTATTTCGAATTAAAGCCCTAAATCAAACTACCTGTTATTCTTCCTGCAAGGGGCTTCCACTGCCTCCCCACAACCTGGCAGAGGGTTTGCCCCTCATCATCCCCCACCGACAGCCCCCTCTCGCCTGCCCGCCTTAAACAGCTGCCTGCCTCTTGCCCCCTCACCACCACCGCTGCTTACAAGTTGCCTTGCTTGCAAGCCGGTTGCATGGGACTCCTGAGTGGAGCACAGGATCAGGCCCAGGAGATAACCATTACAGGACTGCTTGGGAATAGTGACCATAATATAATAACATTTAACATTCTTGTGGTGGGAAGAACATCTCAGCAGTCCAGGACTCTGGCATTTAATTTCGAAAAGGGGAATTACACAAAAATGAGGAAGTTAGTTAAACAGAAATTAAAAGGCACAGTGACTAGAGCCAAATCCCTGAAAGCTGCATGGAAACTTTTTAAAGACACCATAATAGAGGCCCAACTTAAATGTATACCCCAAATTAAAAAACATAGAGACCTAAAAAAGAGTCATCCTGGCTTTACCACCATGTAAAAGAAGCAGTGAGGGACAAAAAGGTATCTTTTAAGAAGTGGAAGTCCAATCCTAGT